TTTCTAATGACAATGAACCAGAATCAATTAAAAAGAGAATAAACTTTTTAGAAATAATAACTATACTATAAAAAAGGTTTCCCCTAGAATATCAAATTCAAGTATTCTCTTTCACCCTTACACTAACACCATATAAAAAACAATACATACAGTTCTTAGTCATTACTTACAGATGATCTCCTTTGAATTGCATTTCTTAATTGCAGAAACTCGATATAACGATCTACTGTTAAGAGATAAGAGAAAGTCACACTCATATATAAGTTACCCTTATGGAACATTCTTCTGATTTCACCGGGACTACAAAACAGTTAACGTAGTGTAGCATCTTTCTAGTATTTACTTTGGTGAAATCGGAGAATAAAAGATAGAGTATAAGATGATTCCATATTTGTTGGGCTACTTACAGTATATTTCTGCGTAATGGGATTTCAGCAAAGGTAAACAGTTCTTATGAGCAAACGTAAGTGAAAGGAGGAAAGGAATTTATATTATAATTTGTATTCATTAAAAACGAGATAAAAAAAAACAGACTTGGTGCTTTGGCTCGACAAATTTTCGTTTCAAAGCTATTATTTATATCTTTTGATGATATATATTTTTTCCACTAAAGAGCCTGTACATTACTTTTTTCGCTGAGAAACTCGGTCGCTACTGATCCGACCAATGTAAGCATTCCAATCGTTACTAATCAGTTAGTTACATTATTCTTGCATGGTAATTGGATCGTAAAGCATTATGTACTTTGTTCACCTATTTTCAATAGCTTGTTTTTCCAGTTTTGTGGAGTATTTTCCCATAACTCAATATTCAAGGGATGTTTTTTAAGTTCTTTGAAAGATATATATTGTTAAATTATATATGCACACCATTTTTTACGTTAAATATCTATCCATGCTTCAGGTAAAACACGTTTTGCTTAGGTCGTTTTATTGATTCGCAGAGTGTTGTTATGGAGCTATCAACAATAAGAACTACCAATCCAACTTCAGTCTTCCCACTTCGGGTAAAAACGCATTTTGCCTTCACAACAAGGTCACTCGAAACGAATTAGCAGGAAAGGTCTTTCAAATTGGAATGAAAAAAATACTTAAATTTCCCCGCGAGTAAACTGTCTTCTGATGACTCTAGCCTGTTACTGGAAGTTAGTTAAGGACAAGTTCCAGTTCGATTTTGAGTGTGTTTTGTAGTTCCAGGAATACGGTTGATAAAATACACACCTCACTTTCTCACTCTCCTGGATCTCTGTTCCAGGAGTTTACAAAAAGAAAAGCCTAGTTAGTGGAAATCATATAGGCGTGATGATAACTTAACCAAATAATGAAGAGCTTTTGGAAATTCCGAGCTAAAACCTGAAGTCATTATTTAAACAACTCGTAATTTACGTTTAATGACTGGATAAAAAATTTTTTTTGGATGTGATCCTTATTAGGTGCAAGAATTACGTAACGTATCGCGTCGCGTATGTCGTGTATCTGCGTGATGGGTATTATAAACTCCGCGTGCATCGTCATAATCCCTTAATATTGGAAAAAATTCGAAACATTTTTATTACAAAACAAATTACGATTATTTTTTTTGCCCGATTATACCCTTAAAAATTTTAATATACTAGGAAACGGAAACCGTTGGAATGTCCGAAGTATTACATATATATATGCTATAGTATCGGATATTAATCAATTTTAACTAGCCAGCATTATGTATAATTCTAACCGTAATTATAACACTAACACGTATCATCTGTCAGTTGATAATATTTATACCCCGATATAACATACCCGATATGTGATCATATTTTAGGTGTTATTAAATTATATTAATAGATAAATAAATTAATGTGACATAGCGATTAAACGCTTTTCCTCAGCTATCCTCTCTTTTAGTCTTTTACAAGTTTTAATACGCTGT